GAGAAGAGAGTTCAAACCCTGGCACCCCCACTTACCAGCTCTGCGGGACAATGGGTAAGACATTTCCCCTTTCTGAGCCTCAGTTTCCTCATCTGCAGAATAGGAATTGCAATATCAACACTGAGGGTTGTTGTGTAGATAGGAGATGGTACAGGGGGTGGTGAGGTTGGCACTCAGAAGGTACCCATGAAGGAGCAGCTGTTATTGTCGTTATCCATGCATCTGTGGTGACATCCAGGGTTGTGAGCCAGTATTGTGGGATTGAGAAGGTGGGGATAGAGTGTCGGCTGGACCCACATTGTGAAGTTTTGGGGCAGTGTGGTGGGGGAGAGTCAGATAGACCTGGAATCTGTTGTTTACTTGCTGTGTGACCTCAGGCACGCTACTTACCTTTCTGGACCTCAGTTTCTTGTATGAAAAAGATCTTGAAAGCAGCCATTCTGGTTGGGCGTGGTGGCTCATGCCTGTAATCCCAGCAACTGGGGAGGCCGAGGTGGGTGGATCACTTGAGGTCAGGAGTTCGAAACCAGCCTGGCCAACATGGTGAAAACCCCGAATACAAAAATTAGCCGGGCATGGTGGCGGGCGCCCTAGAATCCCAGCTACTTGGCAGGCTGAGGCAAGAGAATTGCTTGAACCTGGGAGGCAGAGGTTGCAATGAGCCGAGATCATGCTACTGTACTACAGACTAGGTGACAGAGCAGAACGAGACTCCATCTTAAAAAAAAAAAAAAAAAAAGAAGGCAGACATTCTACAGAGTTCTTGCAATAGTCAATGGGATCATGCATGAAGACTGCAGAGCCTGGCATATGGTAAATGTAGACAGATGCACAATAAAAGTGGGGACATCATCAGCACAGGTGGCCTTCAGAGGAGGAATGGGGTGAAAGGTCTTTGGAGGGGTGAATGTGGGATACAGTGGGGACTCTGGGTTTCGGCGGAGGGAAGGGGCTCAGGGCCTCTTTCATGTCATGTCCCTGACGTGCTAAGTCTAGCACTAGGTGGGTCAACATGACCATCCTGGGCTTTCGGGTCTCAGAAGATGTCATATCTGGGAGCTTAACCTCTTGAGTTTTGGGGGAAGACTTGGGCAAGCTTAACCAGAGGTCACACAGTCTGGGGGAAGGAGCATGGACTCTGGATTTAAACCCCAGCTCTTTCACTCACCCACTGTGTGACCTTGGACAAGTCACTTAACCTCTCTGGGCCTCTGTATTTATTCATAAAGCAGGATAGAGCCACCTTCCTTGCAGGGTTGCCTGGAGGCGTGGCACACAGTGGGCCTCTGTAAACGGGAGAGATGGGTGTGATTCCATGCTGCCTCCACACAGCCTCCGCAGAGGGCAAGGGAGTAGATGGTAATGAGCTCTGGGGCTGGTCCAAAAAGCCAGTCTATAAAACCCCCGCCTGCAGCTTCTGGTGTGTTGCTCATGGGAGTTTATGTGAAGGACACAGCCGGATAACAGCCCATTGTTCTGAGTGGGGATGGTTTTATGACTCTTAGAAAGCGTCTTTCATCTGGGAGACCAGGGAGCTTATGGAGCCTCCCAGCCCTGGGCAGTGAAACTGTGGGATGATGAAGGTTTCTGGGGCTGGTGCCAGGCTGCAGCCATGGCCAGGCCCTCCTGCCACAGCCCAGGCCAGCCAGTGGGAGCTGAGCACCCGCCCCCCGCCACCCACCCACCAAGTGTTACTGAAGTCTCTCTCTAGGCCCTGCCCTCCTGAGGACCTCTTGCCCTGGCCCACAGTCTCCAGCCAGGTCTGCTTGGCAAGGCTGGAGGTTCGCTGTGTCCCCTGGGCTCTCTGCCTGCTTCCTCTCCTCAGCAGCCAGTGATACATTCCCTCTATCTTTATGGTAACTTCTAGAACAGGCCCTCTGCCCTGTCTGCCATCAGCTGACCAGCAACTCTTATGCCTGGGAGCCTGGCCTGGTGCTCTGAGCCCTGGGTTGGAGCAGTAATCTGATGCCAGGAAGCAAAGACCTTGTCTCCTTGTCCTTTCTGGCTCCTTGGCCAGGCCCCAAGCCGAGAAATGCAACCTCCCCTTGGCTCAGCAGACAGCCCCAAGTGCTCTGCCTGTTATCCCTAGAGGAGGCTGCAGATACCCCTGAGGAGCAGGTGGCCCCCTGGGGCCTGCGGGGTTTGGCCTGCTGGGTAGAGGAGCTGTATGTGTTTGCAGCTGCCTCTGATACCCCAGCCTACATTTACCCTGTGCTAAGGCTTTGTCCTTTGTCCCTTTCCCCTTGACCTTTTTTTTTTTTTTTGAGATGGAGTCTCGCTCTGTTGCCCAGGCTGGAGTGAAGTGGTGTGATCTCGGCTCACTGCAACCTCTGCTCCCCAGGTTCAAGCTATTCTCCCGCCTCAGCCTCCTGAGTAGCTGGGACTATAGGCGCAGACCACCTCACCCAGCTGATTTTTGTATTTTTAGTAGAGACGGGGTTTCACCATATTGGCGAGGCTGGTCTCGAACTCCTGACCTCAGTTAATCCGCCTACCTCGGCCTCCCAAAGTGTTGGGGTTACAGGTGTGAACCACCGTACCCGCGCCCCTCCCCCGCTTGGTCTTTTCTGTTTTAGGAGATACAGGAAGGTTAAAGCAGGGTGCTGGGGATACCTTGTGCCTTAATTGGTCACTTTTCTTGCACAGGACTCAGGAATGGCCCTTTCGTCCTGCACCAGGACAGTAGCCAGGGACAAACAGCACCACCCGAATATTCATCTCTCCTCTCATCATAGGCTTCTTTGCTTTCAAGGAATAAAAATCCACTCAAGTGGTTCAAGTGAAGGGGTGCTGAGTAAGAACAGGTCATTTTGACAAACATTCAAGGCTAGGACAGAGTGTCTTTGTGCCTCAGTTTCCTCCTCGGTAAAATGGGGATAAAAGTATCCACTTTATAGGGTTCCTGTGAGGATTAAATGAGCTAATACATGTGAAGTGTTTAAACAGAACCTGGTATATAGAGAGTGCTATTAGGCGTTTGCTATTATTATTTTATCATTATTTTTGTAGAGATGGAGTCTTGCATGTTGCCCAGGCTGGTCTTGAACTCTTGGGCTCAAGCAATCCTCCCAACTTGGCTTCCCAAAGTGCTGAGATTATAAGCGTGAGCCACTGTGCCGGCCTGCCGCGGTTATTTTGACACTGCATCACCAGGAGAATGGGCTACTCAGACTAGTCTCTCCTGACACTAAGTCCCGTAAAGGAGCAGCTCAGGGAAGTCAGGCTGCCTTCCGCCTGATCCCCTGGGACACCTGTGGCTGTGTCTTTGACCTTAGCTTGTTTCCCCGCAAATGCAGGTCCTGGATTATGAAGAACCTAGAAGACTTCAGGGGTTGCTTAGTGCATCCCAGCTCCCCTCAAAATTCCTGTCCTATTGAACAGGGGCAGGAATGTTATGGAAAGAGGGTTTCAACTTGGTAAGACAGACTCTATCATCCTCATTTGTAAGCAAAATGTGACCCATTCTCTCTTTGATACTGGCCTGTTCACGATTGGCTTGATGACGTAGTGCATAACAAGGACTGGCTGCTGGCTGGGCACTCTCCATTCATACTGCCTATGCGAGGCGGGTATCCAGACTTGGGAAGTCCACATTCCCATCCACCCACTTTCTTTCTTTCTTTTTTTCTCTTGAGACGGAGTCTTGTTCTGTCTCCCAGGCTGGAGTACAGCAGCGTGATCTTGGCTCACTGCAACCTCCGCCTCCCAGGTTTAAGAGATTCTCCTGCCTCAGCTTCCTGAGTAGCTGGGATTACAGGCAGCTGCCACCACGCCTAGCTAATTTTTGTATTTTTAGTAGAGACGAAGTTTCGTCATGTTGGCCAGGCTGGTCTCGAACTCCTGACCTCAAGTGATCCACCCACCTCGGACTCCCAAAGTGCTGGGATTACAGATGTGAGTCATTGTGCCTTGCCAGCCAACATGACCAGCCCACCCATTTCCTGTTTTTTTTGTTTTTTTTTGTTTTTTTTTTGGAGAAGGAGTCTTGCTCTGTCGCCTGGGCTGGAGTGCAGTGACACAATCTCAGCTCACTGCAACCTCTGCCTCCTGGGTTCAAGTGATTCTCCTGCCTCAGCCTCCCTAGTAGCTGGGATTGCAGGCGCGTGCCACCACGCCCAGCTAATTTTTATATTTTTAGTGGAGACAGGGTTTTGCCATATTGGCCAGGCTGGTCTCAAACTCCTGACCTCAGGTGATCCATCTGCCTTGGCCTCCCAAAGTGCTGAGATTACAGGTGTGAGCCACCATGCCCAGCCAGTTTCTTTTCTACAGCAGAGGTAGATCAAACTTTTTGATCTACTTTTTTGATCACCCTCAAACTTTTTGGCATCAGGAACTGGTTTCGTGGATGTGGAAGACAATTTTTCCACGGTTGGGGTTGGGGGATGGTTTCGGGATGATTGGAGTGCATGACATTTATTGTGCACTTTATTTCTATTATTACATTGTAATATATAATGAAATAATTATACAACTCACCATAATGTAGAATCAGTGGAAGCCCTGAGCTTGTTTTCCTGCAACCAGACGGTCCCATCTGGGGGTGATGGGAGACAGTGACAGATCATCAGGCATTAGATTCTCATAAGGAGCGTGCAATCTAGATCCCTCGCATGTGCAGTTCACAATAGGGTTTGTGGTCCTCTGAGAATCTAATGCCACCGCTGCTTATCTGACAGGAAGCGGAGCTCAGGTGGTAATGTGAGTGATGGGAGTGGCTGTAAATACAGATGAAGCTTGCTTACCTGCCACTCACTTACTGCTGTGTGGCCTGGTTCCTAACAGGCCACAGACTGGTTCTGTCCATGGCCAGGGGATTGGGGACCCCTGCACTATTGAGCTGACTGGTGGGAGCGGGGCCAGACTGGGAGGCAGCAGTGAGGGCCCTTGGTCCCCATCTAGGCTTTTCCACCAGATTGCTGAGCAACCTTGGACAGGTCACCTAGCCTCTCTGACCAGGGAAATACCACCCCTGTACGCCCTCATTCCCTCTTTCCCAGGTCAGCAGTGGAGACAAGGAGGACGGACTCCTGAGTCCCATCCAGATGTAATGTATCATCGATGATTTTGCTTACACAATAAATCCTGCCCTCACCAGAGTGCTCAGTGAGTGGGTGATTCTGGTTAATTGAATGTTCTGGGACATGGAAATGTTCCCAGAAATCCTTTTTGTTCCTTTTGTGGCTATTGAAACCCATCCACTCATCTATTCAGCACATATTTGTCTCCTGTCTATGCTGCAGCAGGTTTTGGAGCAGGTGCCGGGGATACCACCCGGAATGAAACAACAGAGTCCAGCCTCCATGGATTCACAGTCCGGGGAGGAGACACGTGGCAAACATGCCACCACACATGGTAGGTAGGGCACACTGACCAGGGAATGCAGGCTGCGGGTAGGAACCAGGGGCCCAGTGCGGAAATCCTTGGAAAGAGCTCCCAGAGAAGGTGCTATTTATGTTAACAGCACTAAAAAGCAATTAACCATAGTGTCTGGGGGATGGAGTAGTCAGGGGTATTCCAGCCGAGGGCAAAGGCTCAGAGAAACACCTGTGCATTCATTTGTGCTGTGGAGGTTAGAGTGTACAACTGGGGTAGGGCACAATGGCTCACACCTGTAATCCCGGCACTTTGCGAGGCCAAAGTGGGAGGATCACTTAAGTCCAGGAGTTCAAGACCAGCCTGGGCAACATAGTGAAACCCCATCTCTACAAAAAAAAATACAAAAATTAGCAGGGCATGATGGTGTGCACCTGTAGTCTCAGTTAGGAGGTTGTGGTAGGAGGGTCACTTAAGCCTGGGAGGTGGAAGTTACAGTGAGCTGAGATCACATCATTGCACTCCGGCCTCAGTGACACAGCAAGACTCTATCTTCAAAAAAGAAAAAAAAGAATGTGCTTTTGGGAAAGTGAGAGTGAAGAGGCAGGTGCATGTCAGGAGGACAAGAGTACGTGAGGATGTGGCCTGCTGAGGGCTGGCCTGGACTGTGAGGGCTGCAGGTTTATTTATTTTCCAGCGTATGTTTTGTGATGCGATTCTTTCTCATCAAAGTGGAGAGTAGAGGGGGAAAATGAAATTAAAACACTAAATCACAGAGGAGGGGCCTCAAATCAGAGGAGTGACAGAGGGCTGGGAGTGACACTGACAAGTAGAGAGCACAGCTGTGTCTAAAGGGCCACCACTCCTGGGGCCCTGCAGAGTGTGGCCATGGGGGAATGTGGACCTGGCATTATCAGATCTTCAGATTTGTTAAGAGAAGCTAAAAATCTGGCCTTTAATTTTTGTTTTTCAGAGACAGGGTCATGCTGTTGCCTAGGCTGGGGTGCAGTGGTGGGATCATGGCTCACTGCAGCCTCAAACTCCTGGGCTCAAGTGATCCTCTCACCTCAGCCACTTAAGCAACTGGGACTACAGGCATGCACTACTGCATCTGGCTAGGTTTATTTTTTATTTTTGTAGAGATGGGGGTCTCCTGATGTTGCCCAGGCTGGTCTAAAATGCCTGGCCTCAAGCAATCCTCCTGCCTTGGCCTCCTAAAGTGCTGGGATTATAGGCATGAGCCACTGCTCCTGGCTGCAATCTGACTTTTTATGGGAAATCTCCCAATGACTAAATGATGGCAACTGACAACAACAAGAAAACCACTATAGGCAAAACAAAATGCTTCTGCAGACTCAATTTGTTTTATGAGCAGGTGGTTTGGAACCCTAGACCCAGAGGGTTCTATTGATAAGGGTTCTAGGGTGTCCTTTAGAATCCATTATGATCCTCTAAAGAGTATGCCCCTAAACTGTGCTGGACTCTGGGGGGACAATGGGGGTCTGGGGCATGACCCCTGCCCTCAAGGCTGTATCATAGCTGCCCTCAAGCTAGATGGGTCAAATCAGTTATCACCCAGAGCCAACTTATAACAAAAGGACTAGGTGCTATAGAGCTCAGAGGAGGGGGAGATCAGGGAATGGAGGAGGCCATGTGAAAAGGCCTCCTGGGGATTCTGGGCCTTGTGATGGTTCTTGGAGGGGAGGGTAACACTCAGTACAACCAAAGAAGGTAAGGGCGTCCTGAGCTGGAGGAGTCAGACATTTTGGGATCAGATGGGAAATAAGATAATAAAGGAGGCCGGGCACGGTGACTCACACCTGTAATCCCAGCACGTTGGGAGGCCGAGATGGGATGATCTCTTGAGCCCAGGAGTCCAAGACCAACCTGGATAACATAGTAAAACCACCATCTCTACAAAAAAAAAAAAAAAAAAAAAAAAAAAAAAATTAGCCAGGCATGGCTACCTGGCAATACAGGCACTACAGGCACCACCATGCCCGCACCTGTAGTGCCAGCTACTTGCAGGCTGAGGCAGAAGGATTGCTTGACCCCAGGAGTTTGAGGTTACATTGAGCTGATTGTGCCCGCCTGAGCCACAGGGCAAGACCCAGTCTCTTTTTTTTCTTTTTCCTTTTTTTTTTTTTTTTGACGGAGTCTTCCTCTGTCGCCCAGGCTGGAGTGCAGTGGCACGATCTCGGCTCACTGCAACCTCCGCCTCCCAGGTTCACGTGATTCTCCTGCCTCAGCCTCCTGAGTAGCTGGGCTTACAGGCACACACCACCAGATCCGGCTAATTTTTTGTGTATTTTTAGTAGAGACAGGGTTTCACTATGTTGGCCAGACTGGTCTCGAACTCCTGACCTCGTGATCTGCCCGCCTCGGCCTCCCAAAGTGCTGGGATTACAGGTGTGAGCCACCGCGCCCAGCCAAGACCCAGTCTCTTAAAAAAAGAAAGAAAGAAAGAAAGAAAAAAAAACAGATAGCCAAGGAAGGGGTTGGAGTAAATTGTGTAAGACTGTGATGTTGGTCTGGGACATGTACTTGGCTCTGGCACGTGTACTTGGCTCTGGCTATGACAGCAGGACCCAAAAGTCCATATTCTGGTCCAAAGCTTAATACCATGAGCCTGAGGTCACTCAATGGACATCTGAAGTGTTCTTCCTGCTTTGCTAGCATCCCCAAATCTCTCCTGTCTGCTGTCCTGCCATCATTTATTCACATCAGGGCAGGGGCCGTGCCTGTTGTGTTCACTGATGTCTCCTGCATGACTAGAACGATGTGTGGAACAGAGCAAAAAATGCTCAAAGAATATCCACTGCCTATTACTATGAGCCAGTGTTGCCCTAGCCTGGGGCTTAGGACGACTCTGTGGTGCTTATGTTCTTGTGTGGAGAGGGATAATAAACAAACCAACGAATCGGTGAATAAGATGATTTCAGAGTGTGGCCTGTGTGACTTGTCTCCCTGCACTGTAGCCTTCTGTTTATTTGTGTCTTCTCCTAAGCCTATGAGCTCCGAGGGGGCGGGGCTGGGGTCTGTCTGCTTCCTCGTCTCATTGGTAGCCCCTGAGTTTGGTGCCTGACAAATAGGGAGTACTAAAAAAAAAAAAAAAAAAAAAAAAAAACCCAAACAACAACAACAACAAAAAAACGTTTTTGCCAGCTGTAGGCTGTAAGGAACACAAGCTGAAAATGATTTCAACCTACATGCACCTGTACCCTTTGGAAGCTGCAGAACTTATCATTATCAACCCAGGAGTAATTGCTGATAAGCCCGCGTGTGAATTTCCTTGCAAATAGAGAGGTAGCGGGGGAGTGTTTAACAACAACGCAGATAATCTTAATTAATGACCTGATAACTGTAATTAATTGCATCATATCCAGAGGCCCTCTTTGGAATTTCAGGAGGGAGTACCTAGTGTTTGGCAGCTTTGGAGCTGCAAAGGCAGGGGAGTGATAGGATCTCAGTCCCAGCACTTTGCTGCTCAGTGAGCTTTGCCAAGTTACTCACAGTTCTGAGCCTCAGTTTTCTTCTGGGGAAAATGGGGCTACATCACTGGGGTGTTGTCAGTCTCAAAGCCGCTAATGCCTGAACCCGCCAGGGTTGTTCTTGGAGGTTAGGGTGCATGGCTGCAAGGTTCCCTATGTTGCCATGGCGGGGGTGGGAGGGCAGTAGGGGGCCGCTGAGACTGGTTGAGGGGCAGGTCATAAGTCTAGGGTTTCCCCTGGGGCCGGCCCAGGAATCTCTCACCCATTTGGGGGATCCTCAGGGCAAAATGTTGACGCGGGGGAGGAGAAGCCGGCACCCTGCGCGCCTGCGGGATCTCTCCGCGGGAGAACGGGGGAAGGAGAAGCGGGAGGCGGGAAGCGGGGACCCCGGGGTGGGTGAAGGAGCGAGGAGGTCGTCGTGTGGCCGGGGACGGGCCCCATCCCCGCGGGCCTCAGTTTCCTCCCTTTACTGTGGGGGGCCGGGTGGGCTGCCGGGACCGCTGGGGGCTCGCAGCGG